CATAGGACAGAGAAACTGAGGCCCAGAAAAAGGAAGGACTTTCTCAAGTTCCCTAATCTGGTGGTCTGGGCAGATCTCAACATCCCCCCACTCCCGCTGCCAATGCGCACACGCACACGCACACGTGTTCACGTACGCCACACAGAGTTCCTTCTGTTATCCCATCTTCTCAATGGCCCAGGCCGGCCTCTCCCTCCCAGGAGACCCACAGGCTTAAACAAGTTCCGCCAGGAGCCCAGGAGCCTGAGCTTCCCCAGGTTATTCCTGCAAGCTGTGTGGAGGGAAGTGGGTTTGGGATCAAGACCGACCTGCCCCTCTTGGTAGAATGGCAACAGCCTCACGAGCACAGCTGGCCACACATCTGAGTGCCCACTGTCTCCTTCCCTTGGTTGCCTATCTCAGGGTCCATGAGACCTTCCTCTCCTCCCTTTCTGCCTTGCTTTCTTCTCGACCTTCAGGTCTGACCCTGGCTGTCACTGCTGATTCTCTGCTTTCTTGCTCTCTTTCTCTGCACTTCTCTCACCCATTTCCCCTTCTCTCAGTTTCTATCCAGTTCTCTCTCTGCTGGGCTCTGTCCCTCTCACTCTATTTTCTCTCTCTCTCCAGGATCTTCTTTTGCCTTCCAGGAAAAGCTGACGTGGCTGCGCCAGCAGCCCCCCGTCAGAGGGCTGAGGCCTCTGAGGGGTGGGGGAGTCACAGCTGAGCAGCCACAGCTGGGAGGGATTGGCCTCCAGTGGGAGGGGAGGCGGGAGCAATGGGAGGAGAAAGGGCTGGGCCTCTGCGCAGGGCAGAGAGGGCTGAGGAAGGGGGAGCAGGAAAGGAAAACCCTGTGGGAAGAAGTGAGCACCACCTCCCCTGCTAGGGGCACCAACCGTCCCCACGCCTTGACTGTACAGATTTTAGAGCTGAAAGTCCTGTGTCCCAGAAAACCCCTTGGTCCCGGGTAAACCAGGACCATTGGTCACTCTGCGACGAGCTACTCTGAGGCCCACAGGAGCCAGGGCCTGGGCTGGCAGAAGGGGCTCCCACACCTGGCCCCTTTCCCCCTCCTCCCCACCCCGCATTCTCCCTTCCAGTGTTGCAGGACTGCTGAGGGGTTTGAGGTGGAGGGGTTTGAGGGTCTGAGAGGAGCTCTCCAGTCCTGGGCCTCTGGGCCTCCATCTGTGATCCAGGGACAGCCAAGGAATCCACATACTCACCAAAGGTCCCCATCTCCAGGCCGGAGCCCAGCTTGGAGGAGACCAGGAGAGGGAAGACAGCGGCCTAGGCAGCCCACAGGGAGCTGGACCTCTGGCTATCTCCTCACCTGCTAGCATTATCTCTTGTGGGATGGGCTTTTCAGGAAGAACTTTCAGCTGGTGACAGCCTGGGGAGAGTAGAGGGGCTGCCTAGGACGTAATAAGCCCCCATCCCTTGGAGATGTGCACAACCACTCCTTGGACTCTGCAGGGGACAGCCTGCGTGTCCCACTGTGAGGTGCCTTGGAGGATCTCATGGTCCTTAGCTGAGGCTCACTGGGGCCAGGTGGCCCTTATCCTATTGTCCTTCACGGTGGAGGTGGGGCATGGCTACACCATAGGCAGTGGTGGGGTCTGGGCAGAGGAGGAAGAGCTGCCAGTGACGGATGCATGCACTCAGTTCTATCTGGGTGGGCTGCTCCTGCCCTTGGCCTCTCGTGGTCCCCATGGAACTCCCAGTTTCCACAGTGGGATTCTGGGGGCAGTCTGGTATTCAGCTGTCATCAAGGTCTCCAATGATAGGGAATGGGGAGTCAGTAGCTCCCCTCCTCCAGGAAGACTGGCAACACACTCACCCACCCAACAGAGTGTGAGTCTCCCACACTGTGCAATAGTCTTTAATGTCCTGTGGTAAGGAACCGTATGACTTTGGGCAAGTCCCTTCTCCAGTCTGAGCTTAGAGCCTATCAGCAAGGTGAGGAGACAGACAAGGTGACCTCCAAAGCACCTTCATTTCTGGCGTCTGGCATGCCAATCCAATTCGTCCATTCTAGTGAAAGGATGCTCATTAAGCATCTCCTCTGTGCCAGGAATTCACAGCAACCGGGACGACGAGAAGACTACCTTCAACAACCTTCCTTTCTAGTCGGTGGGGGGGGGGGGGGGGGTCTCACATTAAAAACATAAGAATAAATTTCTGCTGAGTGAATTAATTGATGAAACCTCTAGTAAGAGAGACAGAGTCCCAAACAAGGAAGCAAGCTAAAAAAAATGCAGCTTGAAGGAAAGAGGCAATGCAGATAGAAGGAAACTTAAAAAAAAGAAAAAAGAGCTATTATTATCCTCAGAGAAGTAAAATATAGTACCCTTGAAATAAGAACCGGATGCAATATGTTTTAAAGAAAACATTCAGCAAATTAAAATGGAATCTTTGAAATTTAAAATTTATAAAGCAGAAATCAAAAGCTCTATCAGAATGGTAGAATGACAACATTGAGGAGACCTCCTAGAAAGAAGGACAGAAACGAGTGACAAAGGAGGGAAAAGATAAGGAAGTTAGGGGTCCCTCCAGGAAGTCCTTCATCTGGTTCACTGGGGTCTCAGAAAGAGAGAACAGAGGACACGGAGGTCAGGAAATCATAAAGGAGTAAATCAAAAGCCTTTCTGGAGCCGAAGAAGATGGACTTCCAGTCTGACCAAACGACGTGGACATCCAGTCTGACCGAACTACGTGCCCTTCCACTCTGACTGAACGACGTGCACTTCCAGTCTGACCGAGCGACGTGGACATCCAGTCTGACCGAACGACGTGCGCTTCCAGTCTGACCGAGCGACGTGGACATCCAGTCTGACCTAGGGACGTGGACTTCCAGTCTGACCGAGCGACATGGACTTCCAGTCTGACTGAGCGACGGGGACTTCTAGTCTGACTGAGCGACATGGACATCCAGTCTGAGCTGAACTGAATTAGTGATAAATATTTTAAAAATTTTAAAACAACTAAGCCCCTTCCCCCTACCCTGAAGAAAAAGACAATTATTTACTCCCGGGAAAACAGAGCTGTCAAGAAAGATGATAGTAAGAGCTGTGAGGAGCAAACAGGGAGGTCTGTGAGGGCAGTCAACGGGGGGACCTACGTTAGCCGTGGTGGTCTCAGAAGTGCTGCTCTGATGAGGTGATGATTAATGGAAGCCTGAAAGCCAGAAGGAACCAGTCACAGCAGGAGGGGCAGAGGGCTGGCGAGGATCTTTGCCCTCTGATCCTGGTGTGCTTTGGAGGTGGCGGTGGTGTGGAGACCGTGAGCTCCCCAGAGCACCTCGGAGGTGGCATGGCCCTTACAAGGGCGAGGTGGTATATAGGCTGTGCAGAAGCACAGAGAGGCCCCCTCCACTGGGAAACCCTCCCTGACTGGCAATGAGGTTGCTGAGTCTCCACTCTGGTTTACTGAACTCTGGATGTGCATTCTTCTGGCCTCTGGTTGACCCACCAAATTCAGGACTTTTCCCATAAATTCTCCAGCATAATAATGATAATGCCAGACAGGGCTTCAGCTGCAGTAGGAGGGAGCTCAGTTAGACTATAAGAATATCCTCAGCATCAGACCGGGGTGTTTTGCAGGGAGCACACCGTGCTTCCCAGGACTTCTGCAACCTTGCTTGGTGACTGCAGAATGAGGATGTAGTGAGCTGGGATGGGGGTTCCCCAAGGATGCGTTCAGCCAAAAAAGATACCTATTTGTCCTTGGCCTTGCCAAGAGGGTAAATTGAGTGGTGAGCAGAATTTAGCCAAGCATACAGACAGAAGGAATAGGAGGCTTGCGGGAGGGGACTGAGGAGCTGTGCATAGGCTCATAGGGTGGAGGGCAAAGTCACCAGTCTACAGTGCTCTGCTCGGGCTCCCCCACTTCTCAGGGTCTCCTCCAGTTCTCTTGTCTTGGGCTTCTTTCTTCTCCCCATTCCCACTCCCCTGGGCCCTCCTGTTTGGGAAAAAAGGATCAGATATCCTCACCCTGGAGGCATATGGGCCTTCGGCACAGTTAGAGTTGGGACAGTGGACCCCAGAGAGCACTGCTGCCTTCTCAGACATGCAGCACCAATGATGAGATTTCAGGCACTGAGGGAGGCCACAGAGAGAATATTCCAGAGGGACTGAGGTCCCCCAACCTCACCTCTGCCTGCCAGGTGGGCATTCCTGGGTGAGGGAACCATCTCTGTGAGCCTGGGTGTCTCAGAATCCCCACGGGGAAACCAAAGCACAACTGGTTCCTGTCTCGAGCTGCCTGCCTGCCTCCCTGGTCCCTCCCCACCCAGCACAGTGGGGAGCCAGGGCCGTGTCTGCAGCCCTGGTGCCTTGAGACCTCCCTGGACAACAGCACGTGTTTAGGGCAGCCCGGCCTCAGAGCCCGCAGGCGGGCCTGACACAGGCGAGCAGGGCGGGAGGATGTGTTTTCTTACAAAAACAGGCTTAACATTTTGGCTTGTCACTGAGGCGCTGGGGCCTGGTGCGTGTTTCATACACTTTGGCCTTGTCAGCTTTTCATTGAAACACACCCGTCACCCTCACAGACACACAGACACACACTCACTTCTACACACAAACGCACACTCACGAACACAGAGAGAAAGACACACACACCAACACACAGTCTCACACCTACACAAGCACACACACACACAAATGTTCCCAAACACACACAGATTCACACACATGGTCTCACACCACATCCACACAAACACACATATGAACTCATCCAGAGTCGTCACACCCACACTTGCACATGCACACACACATGCACCATCACTCATACGGCCCCTGCTTGGAGAATGCCCCCCCCCTTTTTCTTGTATGGAGTTGGAAGTCTCCCACCTTCTATGAGATTCCATTTCTCACCCTTCCCCCATAAAAACCCTGCTGGCCCCATCTTTTCTTGGGTCCTGTCCAGCTAGCGCTGTGTCTTTAAGGAAGTTGAAGCAGCTAAAAGTGAGTGAGAGAGAGAGGAAAAAAACTCAAAAAATTTGGCATCTTTTCCCCCTCAAGTTTCTGGTGTCACTTATGAAACACGGGTCCTTGTTGCTGCAGAGAAGTAGTTTTGCTGGAAGGAGGGAGTGTATGTGCTGCCTGGGCTCCCTTCCTGCAGCCTCCTCTCAGCAGACAGGGTCCAGGCACCCTGTCTGGGGAAGGGCCGGCAAGGACGGGCGGGCGTGGGACCAGGCTGCCTGTCCCTCCAGCATCCTCATCTTCCCTTGGGTGCCCTTGGCCCTGCAGACCGTCCGTCCGGGCTAACTCTGTCCTTTGCTGCTTTTTGGTTCCATCTTAGAAGAGGCTCCGCTTGACTAAGAAAGAGTAGTTTGAAGGTAAGCGGGGGAGGAGGGGAGGCCTGCTGGGCACAGGGGCTGCACTCCCCTGGGCATTTTGCTGTTGGTTTGGGTGCTTGGCACACTTCCCTTGCTTGGATCTGTCCAGGGGGCATCTGTCCCCCTAACAACCACAGCCCCGGAAATCCCAGCAGCATTTGGGTTGAGCCACTAGCTTTGCCAGAGCCAACTGAGAGGTCCCTGGTGGGGGTTTATTTAGGCAGCTGCCTGGCATAGTTTGAACAGAACAAGCCACGGGCGTGATTCTGTAGAAAGGGTCTGGTGTCTGCTGTGGTCACGGCCCGTAGGAGCCAGAGGGGGGCTAATGGGGGTGGTGTGCACTGCACAAGGGGCCTTGTCTGGGCCAGGGCAAAGCATACCTATGGGGGGCTCTGGTGGGAGGGACTGTGGCCAGGATGTGGGAGGGCAGGAGGGAGGTTCTGCAGAGTGCAGGGGGAGGGGGTGGCTGGAAAACAGATTTAAAGTCATAAAGTCAGCTAGGAGCTGCCGAGGCAGGGAGAGCTCTCTGCTTGAAGGAGGAGCTGGGGTCCTCTTCCTTCCTGTCTTCCACCCTCCTGGCTGCATGACCTCGGGCAAGTCTTGGCCCTTCTGTGGGCCTCAGTTTCCCCTTCTGTAGAATGGGAGTGGTAGGCTGGGTGGTGTTGGGTCTTAGTTGGATTAGATTATGTGGGGTGGGGCCTTTTGATAGGAAAGAGCTCTGGGCTGGGGTCCTGAGAAGAAGGAGTGCCCTCTGCAGGTCCTTGGGGTCACCTTGGACCTTGCCACCTTGGTGGCGTATCCTTCTCTGCAGGAGGTAGGATGCAGGAGCTGCGGCTGCTGTGCTGCGCGGTCCTCCTGGGCCTGGTGCAGACCTGTCCCGAGCCCTGCGACTGTGGGGAGAAGTACGGTTTCAAGATTGCCGACTGCGCCTACCGTGACCTGGAGGCCGTGCCCCCCGGCTTCCCCACCAACGTGACCACGTTGAGCCTCTCAGCCAACCGGCTGCCAGGCTTGCCAGAGGGTGCCTTCAGGGAGGTGCCCCTGCTGCAGTCGCTGTGGCTGGCACACAATGAGATCCGCACAGTGGCCGCCGGTGCCCTGGCCCCTCTGGGCCATCTCAAGAGCCTGGACCTCAGCCACAACCTCATCTCGGACTTTGCCTGGAGCGACCTGCACAACCTCAGTGCCCTCCAGTTGCTCAAGATGGACAGCAACGAGCTGACCTTCATCCCCCGAGATGCCTTCCGCAGCCTCCGTGCTCTGCGCTCGCTGCAGCTCAACCACAACCGCTTGCACACACTGGCCGAGGGCACCTTCACACCGCTCACCGCGCTGTCCCACCTGCAGATCAACGACAACCCCTTCGACTGTACCTGTGGCATCGTGTGGTTCAAGACGTGGGCCCTGACCACGGCCGTGTCCATTCCAGAGCAGGACAACGTCACCTGCTCTTCACCGCACGTGCTCAAGGGCACCCCGCTGAACCGCCTGCTGCCGCTGCCCTGCTCAGCGCCCTCGGTGCAGCTCACCTACCAGCCCAGCCAGGATGGCGCCGAGCTGCGGCCCGGCTTCGTGCTGGCGCTCCACTGTGATGTGGATGGGCAGCCAGCCCCCCAGCTTCACTGGCACATCCAGACGCCTGGCGGCACCGTGGACATCACCAGCCCCAACGTGGGTGCTGACGGGCGTGCCCTGCCTGGCACCCCAGCAGCCAGCAGCCGGCCACGCTTCCAGGCCTTTGCCAATGGCAGCCTACTGATCCCTGACTTCGGCAAGCTGGAGGAGGGCACCTACAGCTGCCTGGCCACCAATGAGCTGGGCAGTGCGGAGAGCTCAGTGAATGTGGCACTAGCCACGCCAGGTGAGGGTGGCGAGGATGCGTTGGGGCGTAGGTTCCACGGCAAAGCAGCCGAGGGTAAGGGCTGCTACACGGTTGACAATGAGGTGCAGCCGTCGGGTCCCGAGGACAATGTGGTCATCATCTACCTCAGCCGTGCTAGGGGCCCCGAGGCTGCAGCAGCAGGAGAAGGAGTCCGTGGGCAGCAACTCCCAGGCCTGCTCCTACTGGGCCAGAGCCTCCTCCTCCTCCTCCTCCCTTCCTTCTAGCCCCACCCCCATGGGGCTGGGCTGGAGCAGCCCAGGGCCGCCCCCACTCCTCCCCGGACTCTGCAGATGTCCCTTCTAAGGGGGTAGGGGGGTGGGGGGCAGGGTGGCAACTCCTGAGGCCTGCATGGGGGCTTCATATCTTCCTACCTCTCCTTCTCATCTCTTCTGGAATATTTGCCACCCCAACTTCTAGACCTGCTCAAAGCTGGTGACCAGTACAGAATTTGATCCCATAACCCACTGTCTACAGTGCTAATTGCCGCTGAGCACACTGCCCGTGCTGCCTGTCAGGGTGGCATGCTAACGGGGGGATGCCCCAGCCAACTGGGAGATGCCTCACTGAGGGAACTCCAGGCGCCGGGACTGACTGACAAGCTGGCAAAGGCGGGTAGCGGGGGGCTAGGCAGGGAGGTAGCCTGAAGCAGACACGGCACAGGAGAGAGGAATAAACTGTAGGGGCAATGGCTGGCATGGCTCTGAGGCACTCGGTGACCTGCTTAAGCTCCTGCTGTCCCTTGGTGTTCTCTGATGACTTGGGGGCTCAGGAGTCCCTTTGCGCTCATCTCAGACAGGACTGGAGGTTCCAGCATGGGCCTCCACCTCCTCGCACGCACCCTCCCTCCCTCTGCCTGTGCGCCTCCATCCTGGCCACCTGCCCTGCCTTTCTCTCCAAGTATGCATCTGTAGCCTGCCCCTCCAAAGAGGCCAGCCAGCCTGGGGGCGGCAGAGAAATAAACAGCATTTCTGATGCTCCCCTGTGTCTGCCTGGAGTTTTGTCTGGATCTAGGAGCCCCTGGGTGGGGGTAGGGGATAGGATCGGGAGCTGGAGAGTCAGGACAGCCAGCCAGCCTGCCTGTCCACACACGACGGGGCGTGTAAGGCACAGACAGACTGTGTGGCGGTAGCATGGGAGGGGTGGCCCCGTGATGGGCTAGGGACTGGACCTGGAGCTGAGCTGAGCTGCAGATGTTCCCTCCCCCAAACTAGCCCACAGGACAAATGGGGGTGCAAGCCTGACAAACATTAGAGGCTTCTCTGGGTCCCAGTGGCCCTGCGCAGTGCTTTCTGCAGCAGTGGCCTGAGGAGGCACTTGGGAGGGGGCGGGGGAAAGAGAAGTGCCTGGGTTGTGACCCCTCTTCCTGGTCCTGCTCCTGGAAGAGATGTTAGGGAATGTGGAGGAAACAGGGGACAGGCAAGGCAAGATGGAGGGGAGAGAAGGGGGAGATAGGGGGCAGAGGACAGAGGAGAGAGGGAAAGAGAAAGACCCAGAGAGACTGAGAACATATCTGAGGGGGAAGCCAGAGGAATTGAATGGGACTTCTCCCACCTGTCCAGGAAGAAGAATGGTATTCCTGGAGGAAAGTCTTTTCTGTAGGAGTCTTCCCCCACAGAATGGATGGATCAGTAACTGACTCGAGGGGGTGAGGGTCTGGCATAACCTGAAGGCCTCTTAGAATGGGGTCAGGACCTGGAGACTGGAACCCCATACCTGTGCCAGATCAGAGATGTGTCTCCCTACTGCCTCCATCCCCGGCCCTTTCCAGGTTGAAAGCTGCTGCACAGAGGGACAAGACCCCATGGTAGAGGCTCAGCAGCCTCTGTCCAGAGCCCCCAGGACTGCTGAGCCCAGCAAAGTGGAGACAGGGAGACCAAGGAGCCTAGAGTAGCAGCTATGAGCCTTGGAGACTGGCCAGCCCCTTTCTCCCTCCTCTGGTCCACATACAGCACCTCCCCACCCCGCTCATCAGCTTGCAGTTCCCGCAGAGCTGATGTCACCAGCAGCTCATGTCAAGGACGATTGCTCATCTGATGGAAAGCAGCAGGATGGAGCCGAGTCCCCCGTGCTGTGGCATCTTGGATAAGTCACTGCCCATCTCTGGGCTTCAGTTTCCTCAGAAAACAAAGGACAGGGAAGGGTATAGTAATTCTTAAGAGTCCAATCAACTCTGATTATCTGAGGCTTGATACTCCTAACCGGACTTGGACCCCTGAGTCTCTGGCTCCATTCACGGCTGAGCAGGCTGGGCTTCTTGGAGTAGGATGTGGGCCTGAGACCTGAGTCAGGAGTGGCTGGATACCAGCTGTGCTCTGAATGAAATAGCCACTCCCCTGCTTTAAAGTAATCCGTGGCCCCCACTCCCCTTGGGGTGAGACCCAAGTTCCCCAGCCAGCCATTCACAGCCCCTCTGACTGGCTCTCCAACATCATCCACCCAACCTGCCTCTCTTGGATTTGCTATTTAATTGTTCCCTTAATGTTCCATGATGTGTCATCCTTGCACCTTTACTTATGCTGTTCCCTTGATCCGGACACCCTTCCCCTGTTCCTCCCTTGGCCAAGTCAGCCTTGGAGACTCTGCTCAGGTATCACCTCCTCCAGAAAGCCTTCCAGTATGCCCTCCCATCCTCCAGTGTCCCAGCCTGTTCACACTCTGCCTCTGTTTCCTTGCTAACAGCAGAGACCCCAGCTGCCTTCTCATCCCTGTGACCGTGTTGGTCATCGACACAAGGGGCAGGAAGACATTTTCAGTGGGTGGCAGTGGGATCAGGGCCTGCCCTCCTCACGGCAGCCTGGAAGGTGGCGGAACTCCCGGGCCCGCCCCTGGCTTCCTGTGGGTTAGAGGCTGTAGTGCGGGGTAGGAACGTGTGGAGGAGGGGACTGTGCAGACATTTCTGGCGGCCCCGCTGATCCAGATCTCTGCAGCCACCCTCCATGCCCCAGTCCCACAGTGGACCCCACATCCTCGCCCATACATCCCTGCCTCCACCAGTCTGCAGTAGGGGAGGGGACCCCCTCAGCTGCCCCGCATCTCTGCATACTCGATCTGGTCCCATTAGGACAGCTCCCTCACTGTGCCCCTTCCCACCTCCATACCTTTATTCATATTGCTTCCCCCCTTCCTGAAATTGCTCCTCCTCCTCGAGTCCTGCCCATTCTTGAGGACCCAGAACAAGTCCTACTTCCAAAGCCCATGCCCACACAGCTCAGGGTGGCATCATAGGGTCCCCAGTCTCTCAACCACCCAAAGGGATGTGGCTATGGGTTCACCTTTGCCCCCCACCCAGTGCCCCACCCAGCATGGGACCAGAATACCCCAGCCCCCCCAAACCCCATAAATGCAGTGTCAGCTTTTGGACAGCGTGGGCGGTTTCCCCGGTGCCCCTCCCCCTGGGAGGACTGCTCTCAGGGACAAGTTTATTAAGGGGAACACACTAACCTCTTTCATAGTATCTAAAGGCATACCAACTACAAAAACATCATGCTCTCAAGTGTGGGCAGCTCGCTGTGGGGCCTGGTTTGAGCTATGACTTTGCTGCCCGGTAGGAGCCCACGGCTTCTTCTTGGGCTGCCTTACAGGCCATGAGGCCCCCGGGCAGGAGGGGGAGAACTGGAGGAAAGAGGAAGCACTGTGTCTGGTTCCATGGTGGTGCGGTCCAAGGTTGAGGTGGGTCTGAGCTGGAATGTGAGGTTGTCCCGCCTGAGTCACCACCCTGGTCAGGAGGCTTCAGGGAGGCCATGGAGGCTGACAGCAGAGCCAGCACGGGGAGGAGCCCAGATGTGGCTGCCCAGTTTCCACGGGCTCCCCGGCCAAGGGCCTAAACCACTGATTGCTTTCTCCAGAGCCTTCGCTGGCTTCCCAAGGTCAAGGGGACAGATCAGAGTCTTCCGGATGCTTGTAGTGCGGACAGACCTCCAGCCAACCACGGCGACCCTCAGCCTCTGGGGCTGGTCACTGGGGCCCTGATCCGGGGGACCTGCTGGCAGAGCTGGTGCCAAGGAGAGAGGCTGCCATGGCTGGGGTGATGCTGGGAGAGCCGAGGAAGGAGTGGGCTGGGAGGAGGGGAAGCATCCCAGCACAGACGAGGACATGGTGGCTTGGCCGTCCCTACCCTCAGGGTTGGGCACCGTTGGCCCGAGCACCTGACAGGGCTGTCTTCCGGAAGGCCTGCAGGGCTGGGTTGTGAAGCAGCGTGTATGCCAGACCCCAGCGGGCCCTGCCTCGGTGGGCTCTGGGCCTTGCTCCCTTGGCCGTGGGGTCCTTGGTCTGCAGCAACTGCATCCCTGAGAGGGAGAGACCTTCTGTGAGTCACTGAATAAACACCCAGCCAAGTGCCCTGGCACCTAGACCTGAGCAGAGTCTGAAAGTCCCTTGTGCAGTGTGGGAGAGGCTGGTGAGACTGGGGTTCCAGGTGCTGGCTCATAGGCTGGGAAGTTGGGAGAAGCAGAGGGGTGTTTGAAAGGCTCAGGATGTCATCCTGCGGGTAGCAGAGAGAAGAGGGAGAGGACAAGCTTTGTGGAGGGGACTGGAGGCAGGGCTGGGACAAGGTCCTAGAGCCAGCTGAACGTCCCCGTTCCTACTACAGACTTCCAGGCAAGAGGGAAGGGGGAGGACACACAGAGCAGGGGGGGTGTCCTGGGGTGACAGAACCTTAGCGTGACAGCCATTCCGCTGTGTGAGAGGGTGTGTGCCCGGGCATGTAGAGAGAGAGTATGTGCTCAGAACATGGGAAACGTTACCCTGAGCCAGACCAGGAACATCCCCACCCCCTCTCCCCGCAAAGGCCGCCACTGCCAAGAGGAAATGCGCTTTCTCTCCAGTGGCGCTCACGACCTTGTGTTAGGGAGAGGGCATGCCTTCTTCCTGGGAGCAGCGGGGTGGGCTCCATCCCCCATTCCCCGGGGGAAGCGCACCTTCTTCTTCCTCCCCTGGTCTGAGGCTGTCCTGGGGGGCCCTTGGGGGCCGGGGCCTCTGCGTTCGCAGGAGCAGGGCACAGAAGGTAGTCATGGCCGGATGCGACTGGCTGACCTCCATCTTCAAGAAGTTGCAGTACGTGTGGTAGCCTGGGGGGATGGCAGTGCTGGGGAGGGGCCCCCAGACAGCCCCTCACACACGGGGAGTGCCCTGCACACCCTGCATGCAAGCACGTGGGCCCCTGAGCACACGGCACACGCACTGCACGTGGGCACATGTGGACATGCTGTCCGCTGCACACCCATGGCACGTGGATGCACACATCCTCCGGGAACAGACTCACACTTACATGAGATCAGGGTAGACCGTCCCTCACGCTCGGGCAACCTGAGCAACCACCCCCGCCCTGCCCCTGTCGGGCGACCTTACAGGGGTCAAGAGTGGCGGCTCTCTGTGGCAGCAGGCTGAGGTCCATCTGGCCGAGGTGGACGGCATTGTAGAGGGCAGAGAGGAGCACTCGCCATGTGGCTACCACAGCACCCACCAGCACGTTGATGGGGAAGAGAAGGAAGGTGGCTGCGGAGAGCGCTCGCCTGGGTGGGGGAGAGGAGAGGCTGAGGCAGGTCCCCACACACAGAGTCCCCTCCTCAGGGTCAGTGTCAGACCTGGATGACCACAGCTGCTATGGATTTATTGAGTGCCTACTGCTTACTGAGTGCACCTTCTGCGCAGCCTGCCCTGCGCTGGGGCCGCTCTCTCAACCCAGCTCACCCTCCCCACCACCTGAGAGACAGGCAGTATTACTCCCTCCATAGAAGGGAAACTGAGGCCCAGAGAGATTGGGTGACTTAGCTAAGGCTGACTGGCTAGTGATTGGCAGAGCTGGGGTTTAAGTCCAGGTCCACCGGGTTCTCTCCATGACCTCAGTGTCTCCCTCCTCCCCGTTCTGGGTCCCTTGTGCACTGACTCTGAGTCCCTCCTCGGCTGAGGTTTGCCCACAGCCTTGCTATCTGACACGGAATTAATGTTTCTGTTAACCTCCTTCTTGCAGTGGGGCAGG